TTTCATTTCGATAACTCAGAGCATAAGCCAAAAAAGTCAGGAAAACTTTCGTACGGACGACGACGACACGTGACGACAGACAAAGTGATCCCTAAGTGTCCGCCAGCTCTGTAGGCGACACAACAAACTAAAACGTAAAAAGACAAATGCTAAAAACTGATAATGGTTATATTATCAAAAAAGATTAAAACGGTAAGTCAGACAAAAATGCATACAAACTATTTTAATTGTAAAATTTGTAGTTGATTCAAACATTGTTGTAGTTGTCTTTCGATGGCATTCGTATGCTTTGATCGATATTATGGAATGAAGCTTAAAGAGTTCCCGCCATTGATGGGGGTAATGTTTTGACAATACTGTTAATTTTAAGTCCAAAAAGTGTAAACGAGAGAATGCTACCTTGTGGTACATCCATTTCCTGCTGATGAACATCGGAATGGGTCGTTCCATTCCGGATTTGAAATACTCTATCTGATAGAAGATTGGAAATCAAATTTGGTCGATTACATCTAATACCTATATCGTGCTGAACTTTTATTATGCCGTATTTCCATATCTATGTCGTAAGCCTTTTCAAAATCGAAAGAAAACAGCAACCAAGTGTTCCTTCTTTAAAATAACTCACGCACAAAGGTTTCAAGACTAGCCAAATGATCGTCGGAATAAGCCTTTTTTATATACAACAAACCCTAGCACGCATACAAGTAATGTCGGCATGTTCATGAATGATTTTATCGATCAAATATTATTATGATCAATAGTTACTATACAGATCTCCCAGCATTACACTATATAACCCAATATCATCAATTGTTCTTTTGGCATTACTTCCTACATTTCTTACGAAGACGGTATATGTGTAAGTGCTGGTTGCACAATCGTCTTTAAGAGAGACAATAAAGCAAAGACATCTGTTGGACACATAAGAAATCACGAACACAACTGGTTGACAATAACTTTACTGACGATTACGAATATGGGATGTGCGTCAAGTGTTTTAGAATTATCAGAAAAGAAACTCACAATCCGATGGGCAGAACGTTGGTGTTGATGAAGACGTGTTGCGTATGAAGAGTTTCGATCAAAACTACCATATTGCTGAAGCGCACATAATACCAGTTCATTTTTCTTCACAAGCTGTGGTGTCCTTGGTCATCACGTTTTGTTCTCATCACTTCACAGGGAAAGATCTTATCCTTGGCGGTCTATATATCTTTTTCAAAACGTCAATCCAAAACAAACTTTCCCCTTTAAATGTTTCTTTATCTTTGAAAAGATGCATAACAGTATTGTCAATCAGTTTTAATTACGACTCCTAATTATTTATTTTAGGCAAGCTATTCTATAATGTTTGAAAATGGGTTTTTTTCACATAATTACGATTGGACTTTTGCTTAATGTTAACCAAACGTGTTCTTTCTCAGAATCATTGAATTTTTTTATCTCCTGTTCCAATTGTATTTAAAACTGTGACTTCTTGCTTTGCATTGCATGATATATAAGCTGTTATTATCATAAAGTTCGTGTTACGCTTTCTTTAAAATATGAAGAAATATTTTTGTAGAATTTTCCCTTAAAAAATACTTTTTTATCATTTTTGGCACAAAAGGGGCGCTATATATTTGCACTTGTACATGTTTGGTCTTAAATGCCTATTTGTGCAAACAATATCGACTAACATACTAATACTAAGATTCTAATGTTCGAGAGGATTGGTGTTACATGTATGTGCTATTGAAGGAAATTACTGATCTTATAAATTCTGTATGTAAAATTATGCATTTCAAATCTTCATCTGTTTAAATGCTTTGCCGTCATGGTATATCTCTTTTGGAATTATTCAATATTTATCATTCATGGAATCCAAGACTAGTCATGTAATGATGTAACAGCTGTTCGAAGTTGTTAATTCCCTTATCTGGTTATACATTATTTATATTGAACTATTACATTTGCGTCTTTTGTACAATATATCGGGAATACATTGTGCTGTCGGACTGAACTACATGTACCCGTAATTTACAGAGCGCTCCTACTGGTCTCTATATCGTCCTTTTACATAATCATCATTGTCCTCCCCCATTTGTCTGGCCTAATTTCCTTATGATGATTTGTCTGAGAGAAATTTTGGAGTCCAATTCCCTAACTACCTCCTGGCGGGACTTTTAGCCATTGAATGTAGAAACATTTGTTGTTAGAGAAGAGGGAAACGAGAGAATAAAATACTTTAAAATTTTCTCTGACGGATGGATTTGATTTATATATTCATCGATAACTATTATCATTGTCCTCCAATTATTTTTGACACCATATTTCTTTGAAATTTCATCCTGCGTAGGAAGGAGATGTGCAAGGCTTTATTCCTTTGTTCTTAATCTTCACCTTACCTACATTTATATATATATCCCTTCGTGTTTTTCAGGTAAAATTTGACTCAGATTGAAAATGTGTATTTTATACGTCAGTGAAATATATGCACGTATTGAGTATATAAGTGGAGAGGAATTGTAAAGCTTTATTCTAAAATTCCCCATGACATACCTCACGCTTTGGTCCATAGGGGACGATATACTTTCAGTTTTCTAAATTACGGTGACCCTCTCCAATGATCAGCATTCAATTAATTCACCTTATTATGTTTTTACATAAAGAAGCACCAGCTTTGTCGACTATCGGTCCGTAGGAACTTTTACAAAAACTCCTTTACACGTGAACGGTTTTATCTGTAGGAGATATTCTGGTTTTGAAATTTACGTCGTTGTTATGGTGTAATTGGAACATTTGCGGCGGTTAAAATTATAGTAAAAATCCGATTTAACAGTTCAGTGGCAGAAGGAATGGCATCAATAGACCGATAACAACATTGCATTCTGTAAAAAGGAAGCTGTCCTGGCCCGTCTTCAGAAGGGCTACAGATGCCTACAAATCCATATATGTTTAAAGACGAAGATAATCCTCGGTGTATATGGGTTAAAACATCACCACTAAACATTTTTATTGGACTGAATCGACCTTCTCGATAATTTTTTTCTATCTTAATGTTACTGAACCTGTTGAGATTTATAAATCACTGTGTTATCTGAAAGATATTGGTGTATATTATAGACTATGATTTACCATTATTGATTTTGTCATAATATAACCATTTCAGATTTTTAGCATTTGTCTTTTATTTTTTAGTTTGTTTGATTTTTTTCCCCTTTTGGACCGCTGATTGTTTCACTAGGAATTATCGTCCCTGATTAAAGTGTGATTGGTGTAAGAATTAAGCATACATTGACGACGGTATAATCACGGTAAATCGATAAATTCTATTCGCTGCAGCTGTAAAGGTAAGCTAATATTTTTAAAGAAGCGTAAGCCTGCCCTTACTAGTATATCATGTAAAGTCGTTCTGGTCGACGGATCGTTAGCGGTATCAATTGTGTAGGTAAGTTACTCATCATGTTTATTGGGTACCTACTGTGACTTTGGCTGGATTAATATTACTTGTAGTTCATTAGTACAATCCCGTAAGATTATAGAATGACATCTTTGTGGAATTCTCATATATTTCCCGTTGCTGTGTCGTAGAGACAAGGTACCTAGAGAAGTTCTCTGGACGCCATGCTTTACAGATGTTTCTTGTTTTAATACATGATCCAGAGAACATTTAGTACATAGTTACTTTGCGAGGAAATGACGAAATTATAGCGATTCACATATCAATACTGGTATACTGTTAAACGTATAAATTACATACCACATGTCCATCGATAACTTTGACAATGTGTAAACTTGTAATTTACATGTCCGAACAGGTTTTCATCCTGATTGTAGATGTGAGCGTTTGATTCCGAATAACATCTTTTGAAAACGGCCGTTACATTACTATGTTCTGAATTAGGATTTATATATATGATTCAGTAAGAACTGAGATATTCAAATTCATCATTGTGCATACAACATGATCTATGGGTGTATGTAGCATATCTTCTGTTTAAGCCCATTCATGTAATAAGTCAGACCGATATGGTAAGTATGGCTTCGTGTTGGCGGTGTAGCGACCTTTCCGACCAGTCTTCAAAATTATTATATGTTCCTGTTGCCCTTTGAGAATATTTGAAAACAAATTGAACACACACATTTACTACTGACCCATCAAGTTATCTAAACCACGATCACGGGAGCTTCAGAGATAAATATATGTTACCCTGCTGGGGACTGAGATGTTCATTGTACGTGTACAAGTGACATTGTATACTAACGAATCGTATTTGGTCTGAATATAACACAGATGAAACAAGATATCTGTATGCGTTTGATGATAAGACTTAAAATAAGACGAAATTGAAATATATCAAGAGGGAAAATTCAACTCCTGATTACATGACATGTTTCTGTTTTTCTGCAATTTCCATGTTTTAAAAAGTAATGTCGCTGAATCCACATTTAATGTTTGGTATCAAATTTCAGGGCCGTGATCAAATTATGAATGCTTTCAGGTAAAAACGGCTACATGTTATATCTTGGCAAGGAAAAGTTCAAGTTAACTCAAGTTTCACAAGTCTCTGTATCTATATAATTTCACAACCGTTCCACTGTGAGGAAATTCATCAAGGACGACAACGACTGATATTCCAAAACACGTAGATAGGACAGGAAAGAAAGTAAAATAATGTCGGACGACATTGGACCCCTATGTTCTTAAATGTTGGAAAAGATCATTTTTGTTCGCATACTTTGATGAAATTTATCCAAGGAACCTGCTTACTTCAAAGGAATTATTGACGCCGGTTGGACTGGCGCCGCACCTCACTTAGCCTCCAACTGAAAAACTAAAACAATATAGTACCTTTATGGACCAGTGCAGGCATTACGCATGTGCAGTAAATTGCAAACATAGCACATACCTTGAACACAGTATAAGGTCATTTAATGTTGTTAATTTATTTTTGTGTTTTATCTGGTGTTTCAGATTAGACGTATATGACATATCCCAGTTGTAACATACCTCATCTATGACATCCCTTGTAAACACCTGTGATTATGACAACTTTGACCCAAATTGTTATATGGAAACCCGTGATTGGAATGCTACCGAAAACAAAGAGGAAAGGAACATTTTTCTATTTAACGTTGACGCCTTGCACGAATTATTTCATTCGGGTTGGTATTGATATGTGATATTTCCATATTCAACGTCAGGCAATATTAAATTATATTGATTTCCATTTAAGCCCTCCAGCGTACGTCTCATTTTTGTCAAACCTGTTTTGTGTATCGGATATAATGATGAAGGTATTCCTCCCTCTCAAGCGTTTACTTCACCTGAACATTCAGTTGTACAGAGCGTTTTATTGAATTATATTACTACTCTATGGCATTTATTAAGATACTAAGCTAGAAAATCGTAACCTCAACACGGTATGATATATAACCGATCATAATATGTACTGTGACAAATCAGACTTTAATTCAAATTAATCCAGCAGAAAGTCAATATTTATTTTGTTATAGACAGTCTTATTTAATCGATTAGTTTATATTGCTTATAAGGTACCAGTTCAATACCTTCCTGTCTAACAATTTAGGATTATATCTAAAATAAGTCATTGAAACGCTATACTGCTTTCACATTTACACCGCTTTTTTGTTCATTGCTTCCCGTGGAAAAAAAATAGAACACACAGTTTTGTATCCATTCCTGTTCGAATTCATTTCATAAGGTTGCATCAAAGGTCAAACGCTACTTGACATAGGAACAGGACCGACGATTCGCACTTTGATTAGTGCATCTAGTCATGTGGAGAGGATATATTTGAGCGACATCAACGAACAAAACAGAGCTACACTGCGAAAATGGTGGAGGGGTGAAAAACTGCTAGAAGTAGAACTGACAGATTACATTTTAAAGAAGGAAAATGTAAGGTAAGTGAATATGCATAATTATCCTTTTTATTAGAACTGGAATTATATATTCGGTGAAGATAAAAACTGATGTCATCTGGTATCTAAATTTACAGTTATATAAAAAATAGGATTTCACCGCCTTCGACTAACGTCGCTTTTCATACCAGTAGGGAAACAGTGTATGGACTGTTTAACGTGTATGCTGAAGTAAGTGAGAATACTCGTTCAATTATATGGGGAGATCTTAATTTTGGATTTTCTATAGAATCGACAATAACGTACAAAAATCACTAATTTTGGAAATTAGAACATGTGAAATACGTGATGACTTTCCATACGTGTTGTCCGACCACTTCCCCGTTGTTCCGAGTAAAGAGAATGAGTACTCACATTAGTCATTGTCTGAAAAACGCCAAACTTTGTGGTTACTCCGGTTACATGGAAAGTGTTGATCCGTAACGGACTTGGTAAGAGAATGTAGTCATGAATTATCCCTGGTTTTGCCGATAATCCTTTTTTCTGTTGGAGTTATTATGTATTTATCTCTTTTAATTTTCATGTTATGTCAATTGTCTGGAATGTCAGCCTTATCCCTGCTTATCATTGTGTCAACTTAGTGTTATAACAAATGACTATTCGGCTATATTTAAAACAGATGAGATAACAAAAAATACCCACATGTATCAGGAATGACTGTGTAATTATTTGTGCAAATAAAATCTCCTTTTAGGCATTCAGCAGAGGACAGACAACAAACTCTGAAAGGGAAAATCCAAGAAATTCTACCAATCGACGTTAGATCGAGACATCCACTTCCAAAGGAAGATGGACATGGAAACTTTGATGTTATAATATCCAGTCTCTGTTTCGAGTCAGCTTCGCAGTCAAAGGAAGAATACTGTGAGGTTGTACAGAACGTGGCTTCGCTGTTGAAAATTGGAGGTCATTTAGTCGTTTTGGGACTTTTTGACAACACCCATTATGATGTTGGAAATTACAGATTTATTTGTGCATCATTGTCACGTGACGTCATTGAAAACATATACGAAACAAATGGCTTTACTATATTAACATTTAGTTCTAAAAAAATGGATACGTGCGAAAAGGTCAAGCCTTAGACTTGCAGTGAAAGTTTCGTTATGCATGCTGTAAAGAGGTTTTGATGCGTGATTGATAATGGAATAATTAAAATATATTTTACAGTGGAATGACGAAAAATTGCATCGCTGATATAAAATCTTAACGTGTTAGAAGATACAACTATGGTCAATGTGACTGTACGTAAACTGTAAGCAAAAAGTGATAAACGAATCGACTATTTGATGATACATACATGTAATTAAAAAGAAACTGATCGAAATGTAGTTGTAATTTTAATTTTGTTAAAGGTTGTATGGAATACACAGGTTAATAGAACAATGAATTGTTTTATGAGCTGTCTTTATGCCATATTACAGTCGAGAGAATTGTTATTTCTGCGCTAATTATAATTATTACATTCTTAAATGCCTGTCAACACATAAACATTCATTAGGGTCATCAGCCTGTAAAACAAACAGCGACCCAAAGGGAATTAAAATCAAACAAACCAAAAGGTAAAAGACAATTGTTAAAAATCTTAAATGGTTATATTAACACAAAATATTGGAATGGTACGTCATAGTCTATTAAATAAACCGACATCTTTCAGTTAATGTGCATTTTTACAAATCTCAACAATTTCACAAAGGATTTTTAGAGATGTAACATTAGGATGAAAACATTCTCGAGTAGACAGAAGGTTAATGCAGAAAAATAATAATGTTTAACGGTGAATGGCTCATTACGTCCAATGCACCGAGGATTATCTTCGCCTTTCAACATGTATGACCCATCTGAAGACGGGCAAGGACAACTGCGTCTCGGTGGTTGTCTATAACATGGAAACTATTCACCGATAATAGGCTTTACGGAGTGCAATTTATTACTGGTATATTGTTTCCATTCCTCCTGTTACAGAGCTGTTAAAAATTGTTTTCTGCGCTACACAACACTGCCAAAATTAATTCATATACAGGACCAGATCAGTGGTGACTTAATAGCGAAATATTGGTTATAGATTACATTGACCGAAGTCCGAGTAATATCTGTAGGAATCCTCAACAGATCGCCCCGCTTTCCTCTGTTGACATAACGAAAAAAAAACTAACATGTTAAAATAATCCTTATTCAAACTTCTGTTCGATCAAATTAGGTCAAAATATGAACGGATGTGCCTGGAAAACAATAGAATGAAAAAGACCAGGCTCCCCAAAAGAGAAAGCGCCATCTACTGTATCACGTTCATGTAAAGCTTTATTAATTCTGGTAGTAGTATCACCTTCTCAAACCAGAACGATGTAAAAAAAAACAACGGATACACCAGGAAACCTAACAAGTACCAATTATGTTTATATCATATAAATAAATAGATATATCTTCTTGACGACCGCAAAATATCGTCATAGTCTTTATTATTATGAGTGGGTAAATTGCGAAAATTGTGATACAGGAAAGCAGCACTGCGATATCGAACCAGCTTGGATATGTAAATGCGATAGACTTTTCTTAATACACAACAAACGATTCTATTTTAAAAAGGAAAGCTAGACTTAAAGCATAAAAGAAATGTAATATTTATGTTCAAAGATAACAATGTTTTGTAGGAAACGTTAAACAAGCATGAATCTAAAATATTAAGACCAAGCGAGAAAACACTAAATTGAAATTCTCTCCCAAAAACAGTGAAACTTACAATTAATCTTTCTCAATGTTAGAACTTCGAGAATCGAATAAAATCACACGACGCTGCAACAGAACCTGATGATATTAACAATCAGTTCCTGAAACATCTACCATCGTATCATTATAAAAAAAACTTCCTGTTATTTTTAATTATATTTTTAATCGGGAAATGTCCCAAAGTCATGGAAAATGGCAACTGTGATTCCTATCCAAGCACAGGGCATGACAGACCCCTCCAGGTACCGCCTAATATCACTGAAGAGTTCCGTTTGTAAAACTCTAGAGCAGATGATAAATTCAAGATTAATTTGGTATCTAGAATCCAATCGCATAATATCACTTCTACAAAGCGGAATTCGATCTCAGCGATGTACCAACGATCATTTGGTTAGACTAGTAACCTTTGTGCGCAAGGTTTTTCTAATGAACCGAATTAGAAAAGGCTTATGACAAAACGTGGAAATTCGCCATAATGAAAGATCTCCACAATATCGTACTGGTTGGAGTGCTGATAGAAAAAATTTGCTTAGACTTTATAGAGCTCCTATTAGATCAAAATTAGACTACGATTTCATTGTGAATGGATCTGCTAGACCTTCATATCTCAAATTATCAGACACTGTTCTTCACCAGGGCTCTCTCTGACAGCTTTTATTACCACACCTACATCAAGCTTCTATGTAGATGCTAACGAACCATCACTATATAGCCGTGAAAATAAATTGCAGTACACCATTCAGCTAAAATGAAATCCTGCTTTCTCACTCGTGTTGTTCCAATATATAAAACATTGTTTCAAAACCTACTAAAGATCATTCCACCCTTTGGTATTCGGGTTTCTACTTTTTGTACAAAATGCAAATTTTGATTTTGACCAAATTCAGTAATTCGGAACGATAGAAATTCCGAACTCGCTCATGAATTTACAAATTTGTGCGGTACCTTCACGTACCTGTCGTTTTGTTTACCGTGTTTTGGGGTAGGAATCATTGTTGACTTTTCCCATGACTTAAAAATCTAAAAATATAATCAAAATATCAAAACGTTTCTCTTATGATATTTTAAGAACTGATAGTGAATATCGTCCTGTTACAGAGTCATTTGAATTTTGAGATTTAAATTATGCTATGATCATCAAACGTGGCAGGACAATGGTAATTAATATATAGGGCGTATAGTGACCAGTAGGAGCCAAGGGTCACGGCTAGTTGAGGAAGATTTGGATAGTATTCTCTCATATATCTAATAGCATTTGGCAATCACTTATAAAAGAATGTTTGATTATTAACGTTTATTGTTTGCCATTTGATATTTTGTGAAGAACATTTACAAGTTCTGTGTATTTTGGTCAAATGAACAATAGGGCTCATTTCCACCTTTCATTGTGGTCTTTGTAAATGCCATAACTGATCTGTGCATGATAGGAAAATGAAAATACCAAATTGTATTGTCAACGGGTAGGAAACTACATATTGACTAATCACTGCATATCACTAGATGTAAGGGGAAGCCAAAACGGATATACCGATAGTCAAGGTGTGGGTTTGAATAAGTCTATCCCTTCTTGTTTTATTTTCAGCGCGCGTACAAATAAATGAAAAGCATAAACAAAACCTACAGTGATCTTCATATCCCGATCCCTTGTGACAGAGAAAACATGGAAAATAAAATAGTCAGAGTATTGATACTGATATAACACACATGAGCATTAGAATTGTACAAAGTTTGAAAGACATCGGTTGGACAGTTCTTTGAGGTGTTTCTTGGCGATTGTTTCCTTAACGTTGAAAACGTGTAAAACATTATCTGGTTATCATGGCAACTAGGCCACCTCCGTAATATGCGATTAGTATACAGAATTGCCTCGTACGATTTGCAAGTTCCAGCCCTGAAAATCGCCCATGTTAATGCATTCAAGGTGGATATAAACAAACGGATTTTTCCACCTTTGTCAAATAATTTAACACACAAAAATGAAATGAAATGTGGTATAGAGCTCTCTGTAAATTTCGGGTGCATGACGTTAAGTCCGAGAGCAAAATGCTTCTCAAAATATTGTACAAAAGACACACAAGTGAAATATTCATTTCAATATAAATTACGTATACCCAAATAAGGGAAGAGACAACTTCAAACAGCGGTTTCACCATTACATTACTAGGCATTGATTCAATGAATGGTCAATAATGAATAATTTAAAAACGAGATATGCAATGTCGACAACACAGTTTAATAGATGCGACTTTTGTATGCATAATTGCATATTTATAATCTATCGCGATAATAATTTCCTTTAATATCTGGAACCATAGTATCTTAATGCTGGTCGATGTTGTTTGCACCGAAAGAGTAATATTCAATCAAAATTATGAGACAAAAGTTGGGTTTAAAAATTGCCATAGAAGCAAATACAACATACTGTATGTGCTATTGTAGCCTCTGGAGTTACATAGAAACATTTTATCCACAAAGTGGACGGTTTTACCGCTGATTCGTTTAATCATATCCCATACCTTTTTTGGTGAATGTAATTTATACCAGGAACATCAAAAGGAGAGAACAATGATTATTGATGTAAAGGAGGACATGTAGTTCAGTACGACAGCTAGATATAATCCCAAATATTGTACAAAAAGACACGCAAATGTAATATTCATTTCAATATAAATAATGTATAACCAAATATGGGAATGAAAGTACTTCGAACAGCTGTTTCACCATTACATGATTCCATGAATAATAGACATTGAATAATTTAAAAAAAGAAATTTGCAATTTAGACAAGACAGTATAACTGACGAAGCCTTCATATGCATAATTTTACATTTGAAATTTATCAGAGTAATAATTCATCTCCTTCAATGGAACATACAAGTAACATCAATCCTCTCAAACCTTAGTATCTTAATGTTGATCGATGTTGTTTGCACCGAAAGAGTAAAATTAAAAGTAAAATGTTGAGACAAAAGTGGAATTTCAAATTGGCCAAAGAAGCAAATACAATAGTTTATATTTGCTTTTGGTAGCCTCTGTAGTCGTACGTTTACAAATAGGCATTTAAGACCAATACAGGCATTTAAGACAAGAATACGTCACTTCCGGTCGACCGGTACAGACGCAAAAAATCGGAGCTCTGACATCAAATGTTGATATTTACTTCCAAAAGACATATGCGGATGATTCTATATATTAATGAAGGCAGCAAGGTTTGAATAACAAGTCATTCGGTCTTATATTCCTAAAATATAGGCTATACATTTTGTATTAAGTGTATTTTCAATAGGCTGTATTGGAAACCATGGCAAGTAGGCATAAACAAGATGGCGGAACTACGATCGGCGAACAGAAAAAAAGA